CCCTGGAGAGGCTGGTGGATAGACACATCAAGGCCGGGCCCTTGGCTGACAGACCCCTCTCCCCCTGTCAATATGCATACAGAGAGGGACGATCAACAGATACCGCCTTACATCACCTGGTGGGACTGATTGAGGGACAACTGGCGGTCAAGGGTTTTGCCATAGGCGCCTTTCTGGATATTGAGGGGGCTTTTGATAGCACTTCGAATCCGGCTATAGAAAAAGCCATGGAAGAACGACAGGTGTCCAAGACTATCATTGCTTGGACACAAAACATGCTGAAAAGCAGAAGACTGTCGGCAGGACATGGGAGGGCATGTGTGGAGGGACGTCCGACTAGGGGCTGTCCGCAGGGGGGAGTTCTCTCGCCCCTGCTATGGAACCTGGTTGTAGATGGACTTCTAAATCAACTAAGTGAGGCCGGCTTCCACGTCATCGGTTTCGCCGATGATGTGGCAGTTGTTGTGAAAGGCGGATTTCTGAGGGTGCTAAGGGACCTGATGGCAACAGCCTTCAATATCATTGAGGACTGGTGCAGGGTAACTGGCCTATCGGTAAATCCAGCCAAAACAACAATCCTGGTTTTCACCAGAAATTATAAACTGGAAAAGATCCAACCTCTGAAGCTAAATGGCTCGGAGATTAACTACACCAGCAGAGTGAAATATCTGGGTGTCCTCCTGGATAATAAACTCAGCTGGAAAGAACATATCTGTACTCAGAGAAATAAAGTGTTTGCCTCTATGTGGGCATGCAGGAGAGCTGTGGGCAGGACATGGGGACTCAATCCTAAAATGATGCTCTGGCTCTACCAAATAGTTCTACTTCCGAGACTGTTATACGCTGCGGTCGTTTGGTGGCCGAGGGTGAGTAAGACGGAAACAAGGAACCTGTTGAAAAGCCTACAGGGAACCTTCCTGAGGGCTGCAACAGGAGCCATGAAATCGACACCTACTGAGGCGCTAGAAATAGCACTCAGTATCCCACCCCTCGACCTTAGGGTTGTGAGTTGTGCTACCACAACTGCATATAGACTAAGGTGCCAACTAGAATGGAAGATGACGGGCCAAGGCCATACAAGGCTTAGCCTAATCAATGATCGACCCTTCATAGGTAAGACGGATAGGATTCCTAGGAAGTATCAGATCAGGAAAACTTTCAGAACGAGTATACCACCCAGACAGGAGTGGCTAGACTCGAAACGTAAACCAGGACCAAGAGAGGACTACTGGTTTACGGACGGCTCTGGCTTCAATGAAAGTTTTGGGGCAGGCATCTACCGTCTGAAAGATGGCTTCGGAGAGAGTTTTCCGCTGGGCCATCATTCAACCGTCTTTCAAGCAGAGATGCTGGGCATACTTAAGTGTGCAGAGTATCTGAACGCGAGAGACACAAAAAAGATGAAAATATTCATCTGCAGTGACAGCCAGGCGGCGATACACGCCCTGGAAAAACCCACTACAGAGTCACAGGTGGTGTGGGAATGCATGCAGGCATTGGACACACTGGGTAAAAACAACCGGGTCACCGTAACCTGGGTGCCAGGTCACCATGGGATTCTGGGTAATGAAGAGGCAGATAAGCTGGCCAAGGAGGGTACAGAAAGTGTGCCCTCACACGGCCTGCTTGGCATGCCCTTCGCAGTGGGAAAAACTCTTATTAAAGATCATTTCCAGCGGGATCATGTCAGGCGTTGGGAGAAAGTTGCGACCTGCAGACAAGCGAAACTGCTTATGAGAGGGCAACTAAGAGTTAGGACCAGAAAGCTTCTGGAGTTGCACAGAGGGGATCTGAGGGTAGCAGTAGGGCTCCTTACGGGTCATACAGCTCTCAGAGCTCATCTGTTCAAGATGAAACTTGCAGAACAAGAAGACTGCAGACTGTGCGGAGGCGATAAGGAGGGCGTCATCCACATTTTATGTGAATGCCCCCTATTAGCACTCCGTCGCTATAAAATCTGGGGCCAGGCTTTCCTGAAACCAGAGGACTTACAACAAGCGGCTGTCACCAGCCTTATTAGCCTAGTGAGAAACACAGGGCTGGGGCTGTGTGACTGACCGAAACTAAGGCGGAAGTTACAAAAGATCGTATGATTTAGGTGACTCTGGGCGCTTTAAGTGACCAGCCGCACTTTTTTATTCTATTCTATTCTATTCTAATGGCATTAAAACAAATATTTCAAGCTATGATTGAATTAATTCAGAGCATGACATCGAAAGATATCCCGGGAATTCTGATTTTCAAAAAAAAACAGAATTTTGGAAAATTTTCAAATAAATCAAAATAACAATTATTGTTATCGCCTTCATTTTCGAACTCGGTCCAAAGGACATTCAAACGAATTTTTTAAGCCATTATTCAATCAATTCAGAATATTTTTTTTTTGTTATCGTGAAAAAAAATATTTTTGAAGCAATACAGTAGCGACAGTAGTTGTCGCATGGGTAGTGTGCAGATCCGGCGGTCGACCAAGCTTGCAGCGTTTAGTCTGGTTAGTACTTGGATGGGTGTCCGCTTCCCTATCTCCTCTACCTTCTAACCTCCTCGCCCTATCTTCTCGTGTAGAATTGTTACCCTCAGGCGCAAATGTACAGCCCCGGTGTACCCATCTAGTCAGTGTGACAAATGGGCACAATAGGACCCTGCAATATTGGCCGGCTGTACGACTGGGGTTTTCCATGGCTTCCCTTGCAGTCCCTGAATGGGATCCAGTTAACCCTAGTCTGGTCACCAAACCCGACCCCCCGACGTTGGTCGCCTCCGGAGGGATTCCCCGCCGTGTTATTTACGTTCTAGCGTTGCCAAATTTACTCTTCACTACTTGCACGCGTTTAGCGAGTTTTCGGCAACGTCGCGTCATGGGCAATTTCATTTAAGGCCCGGGTGTAGTATCTTTCGAAAGTTATCTCGATGTTGTTTTTCATCTTTCGACATCTTAATTTGTCAATTAAGTCCTGCATCATGCAGAAGTTTTGAAAAATTATGAATGAATAATTAAAAAAAGTAGAAAAAATTATTAATTTTTTCAAAGAGCATTTTTAATTTATATTCAGAATAAGCTGAATAACAAGAAATTGAAAAATGTATCTGATTTACGGTGACAAATGGCGGCCCGTCACCCAATATCATGCAGGGGGAAGACTGATTTCGTAAATCTTTTTCCGCACTGCACAGAAACATTTATTACGGAAAAGGCTCTTTGAAAAAAGTTGTAATATTTTGGAGAATTTTTTAATCACACTTTCATCACATAAAAATGGCAGATGACTACATACCACTGTTTTAAAAATTGACATACCTAGCTGTCACTTCCCATGAGGAGTTTGTGTTTTGTTATGCATCATGGAAAATGACAGCTAATAGATAATTAGCCATAGCGAATCAGATATTTGTAATTTTCACTTTTTTCAACTCATCCTGAATCTCAATTAAAAACGCTCTTTGAAAAAGTTCAGAATTTTTTCAATTTTTTAAAATCATTCTATCATAATTTTTGGGAATTTCTACATGATGTACCACTCAATTGACAATTTTGGATTACGAAAGATAAAAAAAATCCAGATAACATTCGAAAGATAGTACACCCGGGCCTTAACATGGGAAAAAATAATTCGTCTGTTCGAAATAATTTGTTTTCTTTTGGAATTTTGGGAAATATGTTTATCTAAAAACTACTATAATTTTTAAGACACTTCAATTGGCAAAGTCAAATTTTTTAAAATTTTTCCGGTTAGGCAGTCAATTGTAATGAAAGAAAAACGACGCGCGACGCGGTTTCCCTTATAGGGTGATCAATCTAGGGTTAAGTAAAGAGTAAGAGGGCCCATAGTAACGCAGATATGGGGGGAAAAATATGAAGAGGAGAGTAGGAAAGGTAGAAGAGGCTGATAAATAGGGCACACATAAAACCATAACGGTAGTAGGAAGTAAACATGATCAATAATAATAAATAGTAATAGTAATTTCCGGTTGTGCCGCCAAATTTTCTGACACTATCTCGCAGTTTCATGTCGAGTGGGAGTCTCGCAAAAAGAGACGACTGTACCTGGGCAGGTTTTTCCCTTAACTGAGGTTTTCCCTCGTCCTTCGCTGACTAGAATGGCCAAAAAATCAGAAAAACTTCGCAGAACTTTTTTTATTTATTATTATCATAGAAGCTATAAAGTTCAATTATAGTAAAACAGTGGTATAAAATGTTTCATTGGATAAATGATTTCGTAAATCTTCTCTCTTAAGAACTGATTAAAGAACTCGCTCAAATATATGATGCCCAAAGCAGGCTATCTCTCACTAAAATTTGGAGAGTTCTGGGAGCCGAATTTTGAAGTAACACGGTAACATGCTGAATGTCCCGAATGTGAAACCAATTAGAGGGAGAAAAATCGACTGGCTCTATCTAGATGGAAAGTGGCCGTCAACATTTTTTTTGTCATTTTTATGACACGAAATTCCGTCACTTTTTTTACCACAAATGGTCAGTAATTGGCTTTCGGTCAGTGGCGTGTAATTTACGTGTAAAATGAACGGTCAGTTTTGTCCCTTACATCCGTAGCTATGACTGATTCCATTTTGATGAAAATTTTTCGAGTGATCGTTGAAATGTCGACTGTAGCACAAATGTCAATTCTTTCGAATCTCTATGAAAAATGGAATTTTAATTGGGGCCAATGAATAAACCTTATTAAAATTTATATTCATGAAAAAAAATAATGAAATCCAATTCATTCATTTTAAGAAAATTTCGAAAAAAATGAAGAAAAAATACCACATACATGCATACAGACACCATCTAAAAATCGCATATTCGAAATTTTTAGATCGTATTTAATTACCCTAACACACAAAATTGGAAACTTAAAATTGAACGATTACAAATTTTTTATTCGGAAGCAAAAATTAAAAACAAAATCATCCAAGTTTCCGATTATTCGTCCCCTTGATAATCGCTTGGAGTTTTTAATTCTACTGTCGATGGATGAAGCATAATAATTAATTTCCAGGATAATAGAGCACGACGAATTTTCCCACGATGTCTACAAATCCTTCCTGCGTTACCTCTACACCGACGAAGTGGATTTACCACCGGAGAATGCACTTGGTAGGTCACAAAAAAATTTTCATCCGAAATTATGTGATTCTGCTGTTAACAATTGCCTAAAATTTTACACAGAGCTACTCTACCTGGCAAACGCCTATTTCGAGACCCAACTCAAGCGTAAATGCGTCCAGATCATCAAAAGAGGCATCACTGTGAACAATGTGGCGTTCCTCTACAAGACAGCTATTGAATATAATGCTCAAGTGGGTAGAAATGGTGAATGTCGGAATGTAAAATAGATGGGGTAAACTTATGCAAAGTGAATGAAACTTGGTTTTCAGGAACTGGAAGACTTTTGCTTTAAATTCGCATTGAATCACATGACTGCAGTCGCCCAAACAGCCCACTTTGGTAAATTGGACGAGGCAACCCTGAAGACCTTCATCGCCAAAGCTGCGCATGCTGGAGCCTTCAAAACATGAAATTAATAAAAATATACATCTCATTCCAATGATTTCTGCATTTGCAATGAATAAATTCGTACTTTTAGTGCCAAATTGTGAGTTAATTAGCAGCTTATTCCAATAAAGAGTTATTTTAAGACGGCAATTCATTGGTACATTATTCTTTATTACGATATAATCTCATCATCGCTGTCATCCTCTCATTTATTATCGTTTATAATTACTGATATATTATTTATATTCTGTATATTTATATACAAGCAGTAAGTATTTTTGTCGTTATTTTTTTTCATACAATATACATGTCTACTATGAAACAGTAGTAATTAATATTTTTTTTTCACGTAAATGCAGTATGGCGTAATATATTTATTGTATAGTAATCTGCGATAATTTGCAAGATGATTTCCATTTTTTGGAAACGCTTCATTCGCGAGTGTTCTATATCTTTTCTTTTAATTTCACTGCATTTCTCTTTAAATTTGTCAAATTCTTTTCTTTGCAGCTTCACATGTACATTAACATTGTCTATTCGTATTTGGTTGTAGGCGACGAACCTCTGTGCACTTGGTGATAATCGAAGGATCGAAAACCAATTGAGAAGTCAAGTTGAAAAAATTGATAAGTTTATTCTCACATCTCGTTGCTTGCTTAATCATTCCGATAATGAGTGAATTTAGAATAAAATGTTATGAGACATTTTTCGTTCTGAATTTTATGCCTAAATGTCACGTTAACGAAATCACATTCAATGAGTTATATTTTTTCACTTTGAGGGTTTATGAATTATCTATTCATTTCAATTCGTGATAGTATCGCGTTCAACAAGATGTGGAAAAGTGACTTTTTTTGCCAAGTTTTACGACTTTTATTACCCCGTAACAATGATTGAGAGTCTCTCCGAGTGCGCAGAAGTGTCGCTGCCCCCAGTGTATCAACCATACAATCCCTCCCTCATATTTCCATTATTATTTAATATGCCTGCCTCCCCCCCCCAGCATCGGAATTTTTCATCCCCTCACACTTTGTTATTTTTTATCTACGGTTGAGACACAGCAACACGACCTCCGATAAGGAAACATGTGCTGTGCCAATTTGCGCCATTCGACCAATTTATTATTTTTCATTATCTATAAATAACGATTAGAGCGTATTTAGGCCTGCGGGCTACTTTTCCAGCGACGCGCTGTGGGAATACCATATTGACATAATTAATTTAATTTCTTCCCTCTTCTCACCCCTCGATTTACCATTTTACCTTTTCTCATTTCAATTAATAAAATTAATGAAATTGTTCATTAGTTCAATTACCATTCGTTATTCATTATTATTACAACCGCTCACCCCTCCCCCCCTCTCACCCACCTTCCATCACTTAATTATAAATGGTGACAATCAATTGGAACTTGCGCGTCTATATTACTTTTTTTTTCATTTTAATTTGAAATATTTCAAACCGGAGAATATTGAAACACAAAAACCTGATGCATTCACGTTGTCTCGTTTCACGACGGATTCTATTGTGTGGATTCGTCTCCATCAAGTTCAGTTGTTCTATGTTCTTCGCTTTTTATTCGTTTTTATACATACTTTTTATTACGCTTTTTTATACTTTCACAAGTACACCTCCATGTCTCGTTGATATCTGGAAGTTCGTCAGTCTGGCAATGTTTTTATTTATTCTACCATTGGCTTAATTAAAAATGTGACAAAATTCAATTTGAAATAATAGTTAATGACGAAAAAGCGCATGCGGCAGCCGTATGTTGTTTTTCTTTTTAACTATTTCATACACACACATATTTTCTCTCTCTCGCTCACTCTTAATTCAACGCGCCCGAGCTATTCGTTCGATTTTCCTTTTCTCGTTTAATGTTCCATCACTTTGGTTAATAAATTAATTATGTTACATGTATTTATAGATACATAGAGCCACATTCTGGGTCACTTACGCTACTATACTTTTATGTATAATATTTCTCTTGTAGTTTATTCTTTCATAATTTTTTAAATATATTTGTTTTTCATTGTTAACAGCCCTATTGCTTAATCTCATGATAAACTTGTTCATTACTTGTTTTTGTTTATTTTTTTTATGTCAACACTCAAACCATACGAATTTTATATTGTAAATTCAAGTAACATTCAATGTTTACGTTAAACATCTGTTGAATTTATAATTTCATTGTATTTTTGTCACAAGGACGCTTGGCGTCTCGTCGCGTTAGAATATTAAATCCGTACAATTAATATTTTCTATAATTTTATTTTGTGTTTATCGCGCTTCATTTTTAGTGATTTAGAGTTCCGTTTTTAGATCCAAGACTTTACATAATTTTCACGTAGTTTGGACACTGTCGGTGGAAGGTTGAAGGAGGGGGGGGGGATTGGGTGTTAATGTAACTTCCCTAACGCGAGCTCAAGTAATTTCCACTGATGATCGGGAAACAAAAAACTTCATCCTCTCGTCATGAATTTCATTATCTCAAACCCCGTCTAGTCCCAACTCCATCTCATGTTTATTTATCTAAAATTGTTCTATTATTCATTTATTTTATTAAACTTTACAGTTATTTAATTTAGTAATTCTATAGTACATACTTGTTTTCTTTTATTTCTCTTTGAGCGAGGAATTTCGCATTCGACGGATCTAGAAAAAAATAAAATTTCATAATGCCATTTCGGTGCACGTGTTGCGGGTCAAAAAAGTTTTGTCCCGTGTAAATAGAATTTTACTTTTTTTTATTTTGCTGAGTATTAAACCGACCCAACTTTTGGCGCAAGGAGAGAGAGAGAGAGAGAGAGAGAGAGAGAGAGAGAGAGAGAAAAGATGAACAAAAAATGATAGAGGGAAGCGCAAGAGAAAAAAGGGCTAGAAAAAGTGATATGAGGTTACGGGCAATTCTTTTAAGGGTTCTGAGGACGCCTCTCGAGCATGATGATAGAGAAAAAACCCAAAGAAGAGAAAGAAAACAAAAAACCCATTGGCGAGGGGGCGGGAGGGTTTCGAGGGGTGAAAAAAGGGTCATTGAGGCGTTGGTCGTTGAGCGGGCTGAGTAGCGTTGACGTTTATATATAGATGATATACATATGATATAGGTATATAAATTTTTCCAGGCAATGGACAAAGTGCCCGGGATAGTTTCGCGACGATGCTGGATACTTTTTTCCCAGGTTTTTCAACTACTACACAACCATTGGAGGTTCGCTCCCATAACTTGGTTTACTACTGTCCCTCTTTCTCATATAGAGATACTACCTAGCACAGAGAGAATAAAAAAAACCTGCGACTCCACTCGGTCATTTCAGTATCGTCCTATGCCTCTTTCTTCTCTTTTATTTTTTTTCTCCTCAGGATGTGAAATAAAAATCAATAGGATACGAAATGGCCTCTTGGAAATGTTCCAGAAATTCTTTTATTCTCGTTATACGCCCCTTCGTTTATAGACGTGGTATATCCTTTTTATATTCCTTTGGATATATATATATTTTTCTATTTTCCTCTCTTAGGATTTTTCTCTCCTCATTACTTCTCGTATATATCCAATTCCGTTGGAGAAAATGGTCTCTCTCATAACGCCTCGTCGCCCTCCGAGGGGGTGGCAGGCAGGGGGAGTATTATACAGGTATATGTACAAAGGATACGCGCGGGTCAACCAATCAACTTTTATGGGGTCAACGGGGTGTGGATAAAGACACGGATTGCTGTACATTCTCGGATTATCCTCTAGTGTCTCGCGTTCTCTTCATTTTTTTTATTTCTTGGTGGATTCAACACCTGATGAAATGATACCTGCGGTTTTTTATTAATTCTTTTTTGCGGAGCTATATTGCTCCGACATGGAATTGATGATGTTGTTTTGGAGAAATTGATGCTATTGTTATATTTAATTGGAGAATAATTTAATTCAGGGTGGGAAGGTGACGAGATTGATGACTGTAAATCCCGTCATTACTTAGTGAGAGAAATTTATTGCGGAATTGAGAAGAAAAAATGATCAGTTTTGCCCCAATGCAGGGACAATACGGGTCATCTCTTTTAATTCAGCATAAAATTTTCCTGTTTTTACACAACACCGTTTGCACCCTCAATCTCATAAAGTTTTCTAGTGTCCGGTGCTCTCTTTGTTAATCTTTTCTCTTTTCAATGGATTTAACCCGTAATAGAATGACCCATGTAGGTTTATTTCATTGCGAAGGCAATGAAAAATCTGGAACTAAGGATATTGCTGTTGTCGTCTTGCTGTATTCAATAAATAATCATTTCCAGTAGAAATGGAAGAAATTTTAAATTTAATGTGGTGTCATTGCAGAGACAACGAAATTTCATGCAGTAATTATCGAGATGCGAATAAAAAACTTTCCATTCGATTAAATTAATTGTTTCGATATCTCAGAAACTGCTGGGGAAATACGAACTGCAATGTCCCCGCAATGATCGAAAGATTTAGTTGCTGTTAACGAGGCTTTTTAACTATTACCACGATTTGTCAACTATTAACGAATCATGTTAATATTTAAGAAGCCTCGTTAACAGTAACTAAATCGTTCCATCTTTTATAGCAATGTGTCTTTCTGCCGACAACATTTGCAATTTTCAAAAATAAATAATCATCATCATCATCTGAAAATGTGTTTTCTCTCTATGCATGACCATGAGATTGTTTAATGTATGGGAAAATGATAATCATAACAATAGTTGCACCGACAAGACTGAATGGGCAAGATATGTTTATTCATTCATTAATTTTGTTGAATTATGCACGAAGGTGCGAGTGCCACATGATGACGTGCATTATCCAAAAGTTGGGTTAGTTATTTCTCATTCCGTTCTTGTTATTTGTAATTGGGTTTTTAATCATGAGTAATAAATATTCTCTCAGGTTGGTTTGATAATTTAAGGCAGCGCGAAACTGTCACGATTTTATTAGTGTTAATAAGTGCGTTGAAATAGTCACGTTTTTATTTAATTTTATAAATTTGGCGTCTAGAAACATTTACTTAACACTCACACTTTCATTCTTTTACATGTAATACTTTAGTCGCATTTTTAGGCCCGAAAAATCGGATACTTTCTATTAGTGATTCAAACATCAATGTGTTTTTTTTTAATTTATCATCGATTCGAGAAATATAGAAGTAACAATGACGATTTTTGGTTGTAATCATTTGGTTTTAGTGTAAAACGAACATGAGAGGCAACTAAGTTTATAGTTTTCGTTATATATATATATATATATATATATATATATATATATATATATATATATATATATATATATATA